CAATAATACACCTACCAATCTTAAACACTTTTCATCAAATGAAATATATTTAACACTAGTTTTACTAATTATTTAAATATTAGTAAATAATAAGAGAAAATATTATTTTTTAGCAATTTATGTTGAATTGATTTATGCAACGATTTGAGTACATATTTTAGTTTACAAAAAATGCATTTTAATGTAATTTTCAATATGACAGATTTAAACAGCAATAGGCATATAAACAGTGTCTGTAAATCTAGTGTTAATGTAAAAAGAAAACTGCAAATAGAATAGTTCTATTCTATTTTTGTTAGTATGAATAAGTATAGGGTTAAAGTAACTGTATCTAGACATTTTATACAAGTTATTAAATAAAATATCTAAATTATTTTCCTTGCTTGTAGATTGTAATTAGATTGTGAAATTTTTCAAATTTATTTCATGCAGTTGTTGTTGCTCTTTATCAGTTTCTGTATCACCCAAAATGGCTTGATTTATGTTACAGCATAATTCGTTCAAAAGAGTTATCTTTCTGTGCCTGTGTTCAATAACTAACATCGTTTCAATGTATTCAGATGTATTCCAGAATTTGGTGATCCTGGTGTATGATAGGACTAGTAGCCTAGGTTTTCTTATGCATATGTAATTCTATATATCTGTTGGTGCATACGTTGATGTATGCTCGAGTTGTTAGAAGTGGATGCAATTTTCGTTGCATACTCCACAAGGAGTTTTCTTCTTTGTTCGAGTGCTGTTTCGTTTGCTTCAAACAGAATACTCTATATAGCGCCCGTGTGATAGCGTCCAGCAATAAAATTCTTATCTCTGTATTCAGTACTCTACAGTACTCTATTTTCGTCACTTTTCAATTCTTTGTCGCTCAAACATGATGTCGACTGTCCCATAAAATTTATTTTTCGTTAGCAAACGATCTTCTTACGTGTAAAATTCGAATAGAAATTACTCATTTCATCTTTTCTACTTTTTTAATTTTTGTCACGCAGAGATTTGATAAATTTCACTTGAATAATAAATAATCTATAAAATTAAGATATACATATAAGAATCTATCCGATTAAATTATTTTTCCGAAGTATTTAATTTTATAATTGAAATTGTTTATCCTTTATTTGCCTATATCTGTAATCAAGTAACAATTTTTCATGGTTTCCAATATAGCATTGTCTACAGTACCGTGTAATACCGACGTTTAATTCCGATTTTAATTTAAAAACAATTTTGAAGAGCAATAAGTGTTAAATACTATTTACGTTGACGCGATCGACTTCAAATACTGAATTTATTATTTCGAACGTTTTCGTGGTATTATTGGCGAATTTGAATATACAAACAAAATTCACTCGAACGTCCCGATTTATCGTGATATGGAATAAAATGTGATGATGCGTAACAATTGTTTAATTCATATTAATATTATTGTCTTAATATTATTTAATTCATGCTATCGCTATTCGATATTCAAACTTCAGAGAAATGAAATATTATAATCAGATCGATGAATGCTTTTTTTCTAAAGTGTTAGAAACAAAATATAACGATATTATGTCCATTTAGTAAATAATACATTCTCCGTGATTATCTTCACCATTATGCCATTTTTGAATTTTTTTTCAATTTTTGAACTGACCTAATACACAAAATTAACGATTAATCTTCTTACAAAATTACTAAAAATTAAAATAATTAAATCACTTGCTGTACTAATTTTAAATAATTCTTATTTCTTAATAATTCATTCGTTTCACAACACTTTTAACGAACTAGCTCCTTTTGTTTTATAAGTCTATCCACCAGTTCTTAGCTGTCTGCAGGTGAATGAGCGATTGAAAGTGAAAATTTCAACTCCAATTAACGTATCACTTAAACGACTCCTATTCTCGCAAACCTCTGAAATTTTAACGAGAGGTTTAATTACCTTGCGACGACGATACTCTATTATAGTTCCAATTTAACAGTTGTTATGACTCTTTGAAGAACGAAATAAAAGTATTCAAACATCCTACGAATATATCATAAACTAAATTGTTAAAGTAAAATTACAAATTTGTGGGTTTGTGATTTCCCTATAACTCCTATTAATTTTTTCCAATCCAGATGAAATTATGATCAGTTGCTCTTTGTGTTTCAAAAAGTATAGATTGCTAAATTTAAATTAAAAAGACAATATTTTTGCTAGGTCTATGGATTATTATATTATCTATAATTTCCTTAAATTTTCATACTTCTCTATAGGAAAGTTTCTTCTCTAATACTTTATTAGAAACGATATTTACTTCAGTACTTAAATTGGTTCTTTCAGCCTGACAAAAGACGATTAAGTGAAAGAGGTCAATCAATAGTTTTTTTAATACAATGGTTATTTTCAGAATATTATACGTATTTAATGAAAAGAGGTAATTCTATATGCAAAAATTTGTCGAAAGTATGTAATAAAATTTCTCCGCACAATACTCTATTTTTGGGATAATTGAATTTTAAAATTCGTGAGATGATTGAATACGCTGCGGTTGGAGTGTCTGGCCATTATTAAATATTTCTACTTGCGCTGATGTTCGAGTCATTCTCTATTCTCGATTATTATAAATTTCATTCTGCCTTTTCAAATCATCTTTGCATGTAGATTAGTTGGATGAAAAAAATCTAATATTTAATATATGAAGAATTAAATTAAATTAAAAATCATACTATATGGATAAATAAAATAATGAATTGAGCTTTAAATTGGATGTACGACTAAAATTGAATAGTATCCATCAGAAATGCGTGCAATAGAATACGACTTACAAATCAGCACAAATAGAAATAACGAGCGATGGTCAGACGTACCCAATAAAATTTCAAACTTAATTATTTTAAAAACAAAGAATCATACGAAAAAATTTTATTCAACATTTTTTACTTATTTTGGCATGTAGAATCACCTTGTGTATAAGTTTATAGTTATATAAGTTATTTATATAATATTAAAATATGGGAAGAAGTAGTAAATATAATACATATTAGAATATAATTATGGAATCTTTATGTTATAATTATTCTGACTAGTAACTTTCGGAACGAAAATTATTAATTTGAATGGAAACTGTATTATACAGGTTAAGAATCTCGTATGTTTTTTATGACATGTAATAAAGATAATAGTATACATTTTCGCCTAACTAAATAGACAATTATATTATTATTAAGCAAGTTTAAAAGGAAACGTTGGCATAAACGTACACAATGAATTATTTATTTACAATAAGAAAGACCTGGGAAAGAGTAATATTATAAATATTGCCTTCAAGCTTTACTGTTTTATTCATAAGTTTGTTGGAAAAACACGTTGCTAAGAGTTTTTTTTTTATTATATTTTATAGCTACTTATGAAAGCTATTTGAAAAATTTATTGCACAACGTTGTTACAGAAAATTATGGTGTGCTGGATAAAATGAACAAAGAATATTTTATGTTACTACTAACAATACTGTCTTCATAGTTTAGTATATTTTTTAATTATATTTGTTATATTTTACATTTTTACAGAAATTATGTTTTCTAAGTCTGTAAAAATTTTTTCGTTTCTTTATCCTTTTTCTTTTTAATTTTATCTTTTGACCTACTTCATAAATTTTGTCTCTTTTCGAGAATCTTGCAGATCGGTCAGTGAACGTGTGCCAAATTTAAAGTCATTCGAATACACGGAGTTTCGACTGCCAGAACACGTCTACTTTAACCCACGCAAACATGTAAATTAGATTAGTTTGCGTTCGCGGTTACATACGTTGATTGTCGACAATTTCTATGCCTACGGAATTTACCACCTTCTCGATACCAGGCACATACGCCACGATCTTAACAAATACATATCTATATATAAATTTCATATATAATCCAAGCACAAAATCTATTCGGTGGAACAACATAAAATGATAGAATATAAATATAAAAAAAAGAACGAGAGAACAAACAACTGAAGATTTTGAAAATATAGATATCGATAAAAATATATGCAATTCAAATTTTCGAATAAATAGAAAACCAAGTAATGCTTATTTTCGAATAAAACATAAATATGAACTGAAAGACAATTTTGTTAGTTTCTAAAATTTATACTCTGTTATGCTTTATGATATTTCTTACTAAGGTAATGAAGTTTCTCTTGACGTTAACGAAATATAAAACACAATTTACATATTTTTACTTCGACATCGTACGAAGCTGCAGATCGTTTGAAATCAATGGATCATCTTAAAGAATTATGCCCGAAAAGACTAAAAAAATTTAAGAAAAATGTTACAAAGAGGGCGAATTCAAAATATTTCGCGTTGTGGAACACTTTAACGTATAAAAGGCACACAAAGCATGGAGAAAAAGAAGAATGCGAAAGAATATTTGTGAGGCACAAAGGACCCCGGATCAAGAACGGTACGGACAGAGAATTTTAGAAAGGAAAACAAAGCAAAAGTTGAGAAGAACGAACGAAATAAGTGTACGGTATAAAAGAAAAAAGACAAGCACGAGGATGTTCATTTAAACAAAAGGAGTCACTGGAAAATAGTCAAATATAAAGGCATCGTGAAACGCAAAGAATATAAACGGACGATCAATATTTTAGAATGTTCCTTCGTAGGAATATATGGAAATATTTTGTTGGCGTAAAAAAAACTGTTTGTTTGTGAATTCAAGTATAATTATACACAAAAAAAAGTAAAGCAATATGTTATATGTAATATTTACAACTTTTTAATTGTCTCGTTTGTAATGTTTTTTTTAATATATTCTGTATGTACTTAGTAATATTCTAGTGTATATTAGATACTGCAATATCTTTCATCGATAAAATTTTCATAAGAATTTTGTAAAATATAAGGAGCCCCGTAAATGAAAATTTAATCATAATTAAAACAATAGTAAATCTAGTTAATGAATGGTTATGACATTTTAAAGAGCTTTATGAATTCTACTCACTGCTCGTATAAGTGACTATTATGTTCTCGTATAAAATTACTCACCCTCTATAGTATCGTAAACACGACATCAACGATGTCTTTTCGCCATGCTTTTCACACTTTTAGCAACAGTCTCTCTTGACCTGTAACGAAAACAAATATACACAATTTACTTTATGCTATGGGTTATTTTCTTAGAGAATTTTCGTCTTTAAAATTAGATTGAATATATACCACACATATTGTACGTTCATTTTTTCTTAAATACACGTTTTTATGTAATAAAACAGGTCGTATTCTTTTCTTTATTGCCTATAAATATTATATCGTCATGTATTGTATAATTTTGTATATACGCTAACGCTGTACCGCTGTCAAGGTATTATTAGCCTTTAAATAAAATCAAACATTCAGTAAGAAAGCAAAATTTCACTCGTATCACCGAAAAGATAATAAGTTTCTAAAATATCGAATGTGTCACAAAGTGAGTACTTTTCGAGTACTATTTTTATGTGAAAAATAATATAAGGGATCAGCTTCTGAGAGAAAACTTATTTTTCTGTTTAAAAAATGTGCTATTACACTTTGCAAGTGTGCTGTTGCACCAGCAATAAACGTAACGTTATAAAAAGTTAAGTATGATTAAACCGTCCAACTTTTTCTATTACTGGAATCTCTTATCCTGTGTACTATAATTGATGGTTGTAGTCTGACAAAATTCAATTGATTGCTCAAGATGAAATTTTGAAAATTCGTTAGATACATGTCTGACCATTATTCGGTATTTCTACTTACACTTATCTTTCTAAACATTGACGGCGTCGTTATGTATAAGAAGACTTTTCGAAATCATTGCTACGTTCAAAATTAAAACAAGATGGCTTCAAAACATAATATATACAGAATTAAAATAGGTTTACTCTGATACGAACCTCTCAGTAGTCTAACCAAGTAGAAATATCGAGTTCTGGTCAGATGCGTCAGTCAACTTGTAACTTGTTTCAAATTTACAAATCTTTTTTCCAAATCTTGTTTTCCTGAAGATTTATAGTATTGTGCAATATATCTGTATTTCATTGGACAACACAATTGCGAGCGCACTATTCAAATTTTCAAACTTGATTTCCTCTGGAAACCAAACCTTGTAACAAAATAATGGCGTTCCACAAATTTTGATTCATTTTCACACGAAAAATCTCCTCTATTTCTGTTGATGATTCATATATTTCGATCGTATACATGGTGGTATTATTTTTCAAATAACATCCATCGTTATTTTATTCGCTTTCGAAAGCTTAATAATTTATTATTAAATATCTTATAACTTTAACACTATACAATTTTGGGCGTATCTTCGTAGGAACTTTTATGATAGAAATCATTAAAAAAATTTAGAATCAACCTATGAATACTTTCTTATTTAATTAATAATATTCAATTACTAATTTATAAATAGCAGTGCTAAAACAGTGATACTTTGACAGTAATATTCGAATTTTATATTTAACGTCTGATCATTTGTCAAGTATCTAAACATTTCTTATAGTCTCAGCACTAAATTTGGACGAACGCTTCTCCGAAAACCGACTCTTGATTTTCAAATAAGCGTTCGTTTGTGTTGATGGGCACGCAATAATAAGGCTAAAAGATTTTCACCGCCGAAGGGCACACTTCCTCCGCTACTAATCACGCCAGTCACGATCCCTATTTTTAGAGTGCGTTCGGATTAGAATTCTGCAACGGGTGGGTATTTGTTGGGTTAACCCGGAACCCAACCGCGTGCTCAGCGGTTCGAGTGGCTCGTTTCACGCTATCGCTTTTCTTTCTCGGTACGCTTTCCAATTTCGTGCTTTAAGTCAATTCACGAGTCGCGCGTGACGGAGGGACTCTAACCTTCTGAAACATTTAACCGAGCTAATGGAAACTGCAGGGACGCTCCAGGTCTTTATCGAGAAACCTTTCCTCAAAGACGACGTTCTGCTCAAAGTATACATATATACCTCGATATGTCGTCGACTCGAAGAAACTGGAACGATCTTATCCAGTACAATTAACCGACGACGAAACAAATAAATTCCAACACTTGTTATTGGAAAGGAAGCAATTACACGTATCGAAGAAAGTTTTATTGGACCCAATATATGTAGATCTATGGAATCCAACTTCCAAGTTCGGGCTCGCGCATCAAATATTGAAATACTAGAAAAGTTTTCGCACAAATACGCTTGCAAGGAGAGATTTTATTTTCTTTTAAACATAGAACGCCCAGAAACAATCTTGAAATTCAGCGGGAACCTTCCGTTTTCGAGAAATAAGTTCTCAAAAATGTGAAAATGACAGATGTGTTATTCGTACGGTAGAAAAGCTTTATACTTTTCATGGTTTTTGTATTTCAGTGTATACCATAAGTCGTGTCGTCTTTTATTTTATATATTTCTTTTAGGCAATATATGCTTACAGAAACTTTCTTGGAATTTAAAGTGATATTTTTCATTGAAAAAGTTAAAGAATGGTAATGAATTTTAAAATATCAATACAATTTCAAGCTGAATACAATATGAAACTTCAAAAATGAGTTCCACGAAGTTATGGCGAAAGCAAATTGTCGAAGTGCCATAAACTATGACCGAGATCGCGTTATTGCAGGAGCTTGGCGCGTGGCATTTCGATGCTAGACGAGACGACCATAACGCGTTAATTTCTGCAATTGAATTTCGATGCTGGTCTGTAAATTTATCCAATCTGAATCACGAGTTATTTCACAATTATTGCCGCAGAGAAACGAGTCGGTTTCTGCGTTTGTCGCGAGGATTGATCGACTGGCTCAGGTTGTTTTCGCAAAACACACGGCTGAAAGCAAAAACAAGCTTGCCAATTCTCGGGGTTTGTAATTGTCTACGTCAACGGGGAAGCGAAGAAATTTCGATGGATTTACATGTTTGAGAACGATGGATTCTCTGTGTAGCGAGATTTCTCAAAATCAGAGCTTGTACATAAATTACAATCACATTTTGTCCCCGTAGCGTCTGAAGAGGAATCTCGTTCGCTTTGCAGGGAAACGGAGAAGCGCTTTCGACGATACTGCGCGGCGAACTTTCAGAAATCAACCTAACGGGAAGCATAAATTGTGGTACTAACGCTCCGGAGAGTAAAAGGGAGTATTATTTCTCAAGGGGAAACATCTTCCGGCGTTGCAATATTTCCAATGAAACTGAGTAAGAAGGATGCAATCGATAAATATGTTAACGTATCGCGAAAAATGTTGTATTCATTGAAAATTTATAAAAGAATTACAATAGAAACATCGTATCGATATCTGACATAACTTTTTTTTTTTAATTGAATGTTTAAGGTCACATGCACCTTCTTAGGTTATGAGTGACCACGTTTGCTTTGGAACTGTAAGGTACTTATGTAGGTTCATAATTATCTTCAAGGCTTACAGTTTGTGATAGATTCCGATATCTTTCAGGAAGGCTAGGATTTTCCTGCATGAGTCTGCCTTTTATAGCATGCTAGTTACGCTTGATATATTATATCGCATCCTTTTGGCCCAGTATTTGGGGCATTGGACTAGGATGTGTTCGATGGAGATTTGTTCGTTGCATACTTCACACACCATTGGGCTTGATTTGGTGATTAGGAAGGAATGGGTTATTCTGGTGTGGCCTATTCTTAATCTGGTTAGAATCACTTGATCTCTTCGGTTCATGTAAACTGCCGGGCTAATGTCATATATAATACATTGTCGCGAATTTTGTGTAGTGCAGTAGGTCTTGAGGTTATCCAATCTTGGTTCCAACGTTCCTTTGCAGCTTTGGTGAGATATTTTTGGAGATCTTGACAGGGAACAGGTATAGAACGTGTTTCAGATGTGGAGGTGCTCGCTTCTTTTGCCGCTGAATCTGCCGCTTCGTTTCCTTTAATACCTACATGTGATGGGATCCAGGAAAATAGGAGGTTTTTCCCAGAGCTGTTAAGAGCAACATTTTTTTCGATAATAGTTTGTATTATTGTATTGTCGGTTTCCAGATTTTGTAAAGCGGATATAGTACTTAGAGAGTCGGTTAATATAATAAATTTATTGTATGCTGATTTCTCAACATACAGCAGGGCTTGGAGGATAGCATAAGCCTCGCTCGAGAAGATTGAGTAGGAATCCGGTAACTTGAAAAGGAGTTTGTCTTCTGGGGTGCATACTGCGCATCCTGTCCCTTCTTTTGACTTCGACCCATCCGTAAATAGTTGTTTGTGGTTTGGGTAATCATTAGTTAGTTCAAGAAACAGGGATTGTATGATGTTTCGATCTGTATTTTTGGTGACTTTTGAGAATTGGTCTATTACACAAGGTGGTTGTATTGTCCATGGAGCAATCGCTAATTGTTTTCTTGCGAGAACTGGGGAAATTTCAGTTTGCATGTGTTGCAAGTATTTTTTAAGTCGGAAGTTCAGTGGTTTCGGGTGCGTAGGTTTTATGCGGAGACTGAGTGATTGTTCATCTGACGTTATTAGGCCATGTATAGGGTTTGATGGCGTGGAAAGTTTGGCAACCGCGTAGGTTAGACTTAATTGTTTTCTTCTGACTTCAAGTGGTTGTACATTGGCTTCGGCTAGTAATGCGACGACTGGGCTGGTCCTGAATGCTCCGGATGCAATTCTGACTCCCGCATTATGGATAGGTGACATTATTTTAAGAAGGTGCGGTTTTGCCGAATCATAGACAATTGAGCCGTAGTCGATTTTAGAGAGAATTAGAGCTTTGTATGTTTTGATCAGAATATGGAATTCAGCTCCCCAGATTTTGATGCTATGGTTTTTATGATATTTAATTTCCGGGTACATTCGGTTTTTAGGTTCTTAAGGAATGGGATCCATGTGTGTTTTTTATCGAAAACCAGTCCAAGAATTTTGGAGGTGTCTGTTGTTTTTAGTTGGTGTCGCCCGAGATACAATTGGAGTTGGTAATTTTTATCCTTCCTACTACTTGAGAAAACAGTTACCATAGTTTTGTTCTTGGAGAATTTAAAGCCAGTTAGTGATCCAAAGTTTTGGAGTCTGTCCAGATTGTCTTGCAAAATTTGTTGGCTAGTTTTGATATCTTTCCCGGTGATATAAATTGTACAGTCATCCGCAAATAAAACAT